ACATGTTTACTGAGGATAAAGACAAATCCATCTTGTGATTTCTTTTAACATTCTTTGCTGATACTCAACTGTAGCAAAGTTTGTTTTATCTGAATTGTGACCAAAGCCAACAACATGGCCAATTTCAACGTTAGTTTCTTTAAAGTCAAACCTTGATTGGAGATATAGGTTTTCAAAAACTCTAACACTACACGAGCATCCCAAATGCCATAGTACTTATTAGATGGTGGTTTTCTCTCAAAAGCACCTTTCAAGAAACGACACACCATAGGGTGCTGTCCAACTGGCATCTTGTCCACACAAATAATGCAAGATAAAGCTGGTCTAGCTGTATTTAAAGAAGAATAGGATAAATGACATAGTGAGTACAAAAACCCTACCACATTGGTCATATCCGGGGAATATGGATTAATCTTCCCTTCACTACAGAATACAGCCCATTTTTTTTTAAATAGACAGCATATTGTTTTTGTGTAGCAGGTCTCCATGACTCGAGGAGAATGTTAGCAATGTGTTCAGGAAAGCCTGACATGCCATTAATTTGAGTTTGCCCTTCGTACTGTGTACTTTTCTGCCTGATGGATGCGTCAACAGCTCCATCGCTGTAGTCCGCACCATGAGTTTTGGCTGTTGCACCAGCATCTGCAGAATTTGAGGGTACCATGTCTGCGTTGCCCAAGCTGGGACAACCAGAATACCCTCTGCCTGATCGATCTCTATCTTGTTCAGACACAGAGGAATTAAACTAAAAGGAGGGAATGCATAAATTCATTCATAAATATGCATTACCCCATGCCCTACTAAATGCATCAACAAAGGCAGCACAAGGATCAGGCCTCCATGATGCATACCTAGGTAGTTCAGCATTAAGTGTTGTTGCAAACAGATCAATGCTAAGGATGGGGAACAGGTCATAAAGCTTTTCAAACATATCCCTATTGAGTGCCCACTCATGATCAGAATAATGCTTCCTGGATAAGGAATAAGCAATCACATTGGTGGAACCAGGTATGTGGGTGGTACTCAACCATATATCCCTAGGGATACACCAATTCCAAGTCTTTTTTGCTACTGTGTCACAAGCAACCGACTGACAACCCCCCATATGAGAAACATAAGTAACAGCGGTCATGTTGTCAAGTTCAAATTTGAGATGGGCCCCAACCATTTTACTGCAAAAGGTAGTTAGGCAAATAAACACAACATAGAGTTCTCTTACATTGATGTGCAACAATTCTTGATCTCTAGACCATATACCACTTGATTGTAAAGAATTTTAAAATTAAACGAGACTTACCTGTAAGGTGAAGTTTGATTGTAATTCTACCGATCCATATAGTCATGAGGGGATTACGTGAGATTGCACCGCTTGCCAGCTCAGCTCAATTTCCAAAGACRGATGGCCACACCCACATTAGGGAAGGGCACTTGCATGCATATGTCAGAGTAATGCTAGGGCGGGCACGTAATCCCCTCATGACTATATGGATCGGTAGAATTACAATCAAACTTCACCTTACAGGTAAGTCTCGTTTAATTTTAAAATTCTACCTCACCATTACGTCATTCGGAGATCACGTGAGATTTTAAAGCAGTGTGGCCAGAAGACCAAAGAAAACAAATATACCAGGACATGCAGTAANTCTTTTTTAGGTGTAACAAATATACTAGACAAATATTCCCCTTCTTCATGTTGACTGGGAACTATAACCCCTTTGCCTAGGAGTCTAGTGATTTCTATATCAATGAATTCAATTTCTTGACAAGTTACTTTGAGAGGCTTAGGTGTTTTTAACTGATAAGGAGGAGCACCTTTAAATTCAATCGTACAGCCTCTGACAATAGCAAGTATGTTAGGATCACTAGTTATAGCTTCCCATTCATTAATAAAACTGTGAATTCTACCAGCTTTAAATGGCATTGCTTGCACTTCCTGTTCAACCACAGTCCTACTGACCTGGGTATTTATTTTTGTCCTTTCTCCCCCTCCTTCTTCTTTGAGGGGTAATTGTACTGCCTCTGGCTGTTCTGATATTTGTTGTAACTGGTCTGGGTCTTCCACCCAGACCTCCCTTCGTTTTTTGACGAATAGTGCTTACGATTGTCATAATGATATGACTTGCTGTGCTTCTTCTTGTCAAGTAAAGTATTTCCGACTTTATTAGTCGCGTTGATATCCTTAATCTTTTGGGGTAGGTCATCGCCAAACAAGTTATCAGTTATCTCAACTTGATCAGAGCAAATCTGCTGATATGCCTTATTCAGATCAGGCTTTATAAAATCTCGGCGTCTGTGGCTTATCTCAATATTAGCATGAGATATAAAAGCAATGCTATCAAACATTGACTTAACTGTCGAGTTATCTTTTTCGTTTTTAACGAGCTTATCAGCGAGTCCGACAAGCACAGTTGTCGCTTTCATCAACATAGTTTGGATTTTTTGAAGCTTTACATCTCTGCTTCTTGTTGAGGAGCTAATTTTAGCCCAAATTTCGCTGTTCACCTTGGGTGTAATCAGCTTCTCACAATTCTGAGGACGATTGTACTTGTTAAGTTTTTCTTTCAACTTGTCATCAGACATCTTTGACCTCGCTAATTTGTTTACAATGGAGGCCAAATTAGTATCCACTGGAGCGGAAAAAGCTTCCTCCAGCTCAAACTCTTGGAGTATATCGTCAAGAACTCCTTTTTGTTTTAATTCCTGTGAAGGATCTGGACTGCTTTCCTTCAAGAGTGCAGCTAACTCTGCATCCACGTCAATATCCGACGAGCCAGATGCACTAAAATCGCTCAAGTCAAAACGAGCGCCTTTGTGTTTCTTCGAGCGTGAAACACGCTGTTGGGTCTCAGAACTCGAATTTTCGCTATCTGAGTCAACTACAGAGCGTTTTGCACCATGAGCTGATTGCAGCATTGATGCAATTTCCTGAAAGCCTTGCTTCATGCCTTCCAGAAGAGAATCTTTTAAGTCTGTGTGGCCGACAAGATTGCCGCCATCGTTCGGTTGGGCACTTTTGGCGCCAAAGTCTTTTGAGGTCTTTTCAGTGGTTTTGGAAATACATGAATCGTCAGCTGGACCCCTAGCAGGTTCTTTAGAAGTTTTGCTGGCAGTTGTCTTGGATTTAGACTTCCCAAGCGTTTGTTTCTGCGTAGAATTTGAAGTATTTTGCGATTCCTCCATCCTAACGTCTTTAGCCGTGCTGAGCAAACAACGCATTGAGCTGAGCATTCAATGTGACAATGCTTTATATGATCTAACATTTCTGGATGTAATCTTATGCCATTCTAAAATGCAGTTCTTAGTCTGTCCAGCCACAAAAGGTGGTTGGTTGTTAATTAATGTTTTCATTTCTTTCTCTAAATTTACATACCAGTAATGGGTTGACTTCAAGCCTGACTTTTTCTCTGGCTGGGGCGCATTCTGAAATTGCTGGTTCTGCTGATGAGGTAATCGATTAGTATATCGTCATTGGTTACCACGACCACGAGAGCTCCTGCCCCTGTTATTTCCATAATCACTTCTGAATCCTCTTGAGGGAGAACCTCTGTCCTCTTCCTCGAGGTGCGGATGGATTTTTGCAGACTCTGCTTTTGTTTAATCTCCTTTACCCTTTTGGCAGTATCCCCTCCAAACAGGAACTCGTCTGCTGGGTTAGATGAGCTACACAAGCACTTAGCAAACTCACTTTTAAATTGTGGTCTTATGGCATCTCGCCGACTGTTTTTCAGTTCATAATTAGCAGTCATAGCCATCGTCAATCCGTCCAGGCATGATGTCACTGTCTCTTTGTCAGCTTTCATAGCTACCAACACTTCTGAGACCTTACACTGGCAGGATTATGGCTGGATTATGACGTTTCATAATACTTTTGCTTTGCTCAAGTAAAACACTTTCAAAATGGCGTATGCCACTTGTTCTCTACTGCTACGAATGCCTGTGCAAGGTCATTCTAGGTGAATTAAATCAAATCTGACTCGTACAGAGTTCACTTCACCTTTCCTTTGTGTAATAATACTTACCTTAAATGAACTAGAAAGTGGTAAAGTCTTCTAAAGTTCCAAAAATTTCGGAGCGCTTCTAAACACGTCTAACACGTCTTCGGTTGGTTTAGGTTCAATGATTGTGACGTCACTCTCGGTAGGCTTTGTTCGTTCTTCCTGTCGGTCCATTGGTTACGGTTTATGAGATTTACAAAACAAACTACCCCTATTTACTCGTGACCAGGCCCTTGGCCGGGTCACGAGTCAGAAAATGCAGCGAGTTTAGTTTTGTTTTTACTCGTGACCAGGCCCTTGGCCGGGTCACGAGTCAGAAAATGCAGCGAGTTTAGTTTTGTTTTGTTTTTTCTATGTGAGACCTTTGTCTTCGGGCTGACCTTTGCGTCCCGAACGCATATCACATTGCGAACTCGGGTGTACTTTTGCCACCGATCGCACTCCGATCTCTAAACGAAATATCACATTACGAACTCGGCTGTAAACAAGCGTATCATAGAACAGCAAAACTGCTCGGGATTTTGTGTATCTTTTATACTAACGAGATATTAATCAATACTTCGTAGATAAATGAAGCCCGTGGATGTCTCACAAAACTCAGAATTATCGATTCTTCAGGTCAGACTCTGCCGCTTATTACTTATCTGAGTATTTGGGATAGCGGAAAGGCGGAAAGTTTTCTGTTAAAGGCGAAGAGATCTCAAGTTATACCATCGACACCTCTTCTAGTCGTGAGAGA